TATCTTTGGATTATCAATTAGACCTTTGTTACTGTAAATTTTATTTCTTTTACTATTTTTGCTTTGCTTCATATAGTAGTAATAGATAATATATCCAATAAGGTAGAAATATAACGGTGTTAAGACGTCATAAAAGTTAAAGGAAAGCCGTAACATCTTAGATTTATTTATAATATTTAATTATAATGTCAAATTAGCGTTAGTGATAGAGAATAAATTTTTAAATGTCAAAATAGTCTGGTTTAAATTAAGTATTTGCCGCCGATCTGCATATGACAGTACCGGTAATCGGTATAGATATATTTTCTTGTACAACGAATGATACGTAATTAGCGTTAGCATAGTGGAAAAAATCCATATGATTTCTAATTTTTATGATGCACATCGTTACGTAACCTGTGCCTCTTATTGAATGTGTGCCAGGTACTGGCGCAGCAAAAATTCTTAAAGTTCGTTTATGTTAGGGTTAGGGTTAGGATTAGGATTAGGATTAGAAGTTAGGAGGAAGAGATTATATAGTAAATTTGCCCAACGAAAACTTTTTGTTAGAGCACTAAAGGTGATTTCTTGTTCAGGAAATTTGCGCCACGAACCTGGCACACATTCAAGAATTAAAAATAACTAAACCAGAATGAAAGAGTTTCTGGTTAGTTATATTAAATTGGTTTGTCTTCACGTTTTTAAAATTGTCATTGACATTAGCGTTAGGTCTTTATTTTTTTAATTGTCATTGGATGGTTTTTACTTTCTTTAACATTGGATCATAATATTGAAAATCTTTGTTACCTCCTGATTCTCACTAACATGTGGATATTTCGAAGCATTCTTTGTTAATCATCAAATTAGTAAAAAAATTAGTTCTTAAAATATCTACTATATTTCTTAACAACTTTTGAAATCTCTTACTTTGTTATTCTTTTTTTTTTTGAAATTTTAAAATAATTATTTATATTACTATCTTTAGTAATATAAAAACTTAAGTCTGATACCAATAATCTCAAATTTAAGCAATATACATTCATGAATTAGTTAACAGTTTCACAGCAATCTTAGAGAGAATCTTAGATAAATCACTAGTTCCTTCCATGAATCGTCTCTTTGCTAAATTTGGCTTCCTTAATACAAAATATACACCAGAAGAGATTAGTTTATACGCAGTACCAACTAATGGCACAAAATCAACAATTTTTGCTACTTTTGACTCAAGTTCAGTTGTATGCTCAAGAATTTCTAATTTGACGCAATTATACCTTAGGTACAATAAAGAATTTAATTGACAGGAAAACGGTTGCCAAAACGAGACTCACCTAGTATTTGTGGCATGGAATAACGGAAACATTTTTTATATTTATATAGCGTTTGAACAATCCATGGACTCAATAATAACTCTTATTATCAAGATGAGAATAAAATATAATTTAAATTCATAAACAATAAATTTAATATAATTTACTATATAATGATTTATATTATTTAACAAAAAATACCACTTCAACTTGGTTATTAAAAGTTGAATAATTTCGTTTAATTTATTTAAATCTGTGGAATCATCTAGTTATAAAATTTTATTTACTGTATAATTTCTATTTGCTAACCAGTTTTACAAGAGTTGGAAATTTGTTGAATTTCATGTATTTTATTTCATTCTAGTTTATTTTTCCTTCATTGATTTTTTATCTAATTATTTTGATTTTAAATAGAAAATAAGTCGAAGAAAAAAAAAAATAAAGAAAATTCACTTTCTTTATGAAATCATACTGGGTCACTGCCTCAGTTTTAATATAACCTAGAACGGGAAAAGTAAGTTTTTGGGAATTATATTTTAGTTTTATATTTGTTTATTTTTAGTTATTCAGATCTTCACTTTTTATTTG